TATGCTCACTAGTTCCCTTCATTTATATAAAATGCTCGGTACTAGTCTTGATTTATATACTATGCTCTGTCGTAGTCTTGATTTATATACTCTGCACGTTAGTGATCTTGATTTGTATACTATGCTCGTTGGTGGTTTTGATTTATATACTATGCTCGGTCGTAGTCTTGATTTGTATACTATGTTCGTTAGTGATCTTGATTTATATACCATCCTCGATTGCGGTCTTGTTTTATGTACTATGCTCGGTCGTAGTGTTGATTTATATATTATGTTTGTTGTTGGCTAGATTCATAAACTATTCTCGTTTGTGGTGTTGATTTTTGATACTATGATCCTTGTTTGCTAGATTTATCAACTATTCTGGTTTGTGGTCTTGATTTTTATACTATGCTCGTTTGTGGTCTTGATTTATATAATATACTCATTCTGTAGTCATGATGTATATACTATGTTCGTCTGTGGTTTTGATCTATTTACTATACCGTTTGTGGTCTGGATCTGTATACTATGATCGGTCGTGGTCTTGATTTATATACTCTGTTAGTTGGTGGTCTTCATGATTATACTAGCTTCGATCGTGGTCTTGATTTCTTAACTATGCCCGTTTGTGGTCTTGATTTATATACCATGTTCGTTGTTGGTCTTGATTTATATAATATTCTCGGTCATGATCCCGATTTATTAACTATGATCGTTTGTGGTTTTGATTTATATACTCTGCTCGGAGGTGGTCATGATTTATATACTATTTTCGCTTGTCGTCTTGGCTGATATACTATGTTTGTTAATGGTCTTGATTTATATACTATGTACACTCGGAGTCTTTATTTATATGCTCTGCTCGTTTGTGGACTTGATTTATCTACCATGATCGTTCTTGGTTTTGATTTATATACTGTGCTCGGTCGTGCTTTTGATTTATATACTATGCTCATTGGTGGCTTAATTTATATACTTAGCTGGCGTATGGTCATGATTTATATATGGTGCTTCGTCGTGGTTTTGATTTATATACTGTGCTTGTTGATGATAATGATTTATATACTATGATTTTTGATGGTTATGATTTATATAATTAGTTCGGTCATAGTCTTGATTTATATACTATGCTCGGTCGTGGTCTTGATTTATATGCTATTCTCGGTGGTGGTCGTTGTTGTAATTTGTATACTATGTTTGTTGGTGGTCTTTATTTATATACTATGATTCGTCGTTGTTTTGAGTTATATACTATGATCGTTGGTGGTCATAATTAAATAAACGATGCTTTGTCGCGGTTTTGATTTATATACTATGATCGTTGTTGGTCATGATTTAATAAACTATGCTTTGTCGCGGTCTTGATTTATATAATGTACTCGGTTGCAGTCTTGATTTATATACTATGCTTGGTTGTGATTTTGATTTAAATACTGTGCTCGTTGGTAGTCTTGATTTGTGTATTATGCTAATTGGTGGTTTTGATCTTTATGCTGTGCTTGTTGCTGTTCTTGATTTATATACTGTGCTTTGCGTAGTCTTGATTTATATACTATGCACGGTCGTAGTCTTTCTTTAAAAACCATGCTCGGTCGTAGTCTTTCTTAAAATACTATGCTTGTTCGTGTTCTTGATTTCTATACTTGCTCGTTGGTGGTCTTGATTTATACACTATGCTAGTTAATGGTCTTGATTTATATACTATGCTCACTCGTAGTCTTGATTTATATACTATGCTCGTTGGTAGTCATGATTTATATACTTTGCTCGGTTGTGGTCTTGATTTATATACTCTGCTCGTTGGTGGTCTAGATTTGTATACTATGTTCCACAGTGGTCTCGATTTATGTTTACCGTGTCGGACGTGGATTTGATTTATATAATGAGCTTGTTGATGATAATGATTTATATATTATGCTCTTTGATGGTTATGATTGATATACTAAGTTTGGTCGTAGTCTTTATTTATAAACTTTGCTCGGTCGTGGTTTAGATTTGTATACTAAGTGCGGTTCATGTCTTGATTTATATACCATCCTCGGTCGTGGTTTTGATTTAGATACTCTGCTCGTTGGTGGTCTTGATTTATATAGTATGCTCGGTCGTGGTCTTGACTTCTATGCTATGCTCTGTTGTGGTCTTGTTTTATATGATGTTATTGGTCGTTGTCTTGATTTATATACTGTGTTCGTTGGTGGTGTTGATTTATATACCATGTTCGTTGGTTGTCATGATTGATATACTGTGCTCGATCGTTGATTTAAATACTATGCTTGGTCGTAGTCTTGATTTATATACTGTGCTTTGTCGTGGTCTTGTTTTATATACAATGTGCGGTTGTAGCCATGATTTATATACAGTGCTCGTTGGTGGTCTTTATTTTTATACTGTGCTCGTTGGTGGTCTCAATTTATAAAATATTTTCGTTGGTCGTCATGATTTATATGATATGCTTGATCGAAGTCTTGATTTATATACTATGTTCGTTTTTGGTCTTGATGTATATAATGTGTTCGGTCGTAGTCTTGGAGAATATGCTATGATCGTTCGTGCTCTTGATTTATATGCTCTGTTCATTGGTAGTCTTGAATAGTATATTATGTTCGATGATGGTCTTGATTTAGATACTATGCTAGTTTGTGGTCTTGATTTATATACTATGCTCGCTGGTCGTCAATATTTATATATTATGCTCTGTCGTAATCTTGATTTATATATTTTCGTCGTTGGTGGTCTTGAGCTATATAGTATGCTCGTTGGTCGTCATGATTTATATACTATGCTCGGTCGTGGGCTTGATTTGTATATTATGTTCCATGGTGGTCTTGATTTATATATCATGCTCGTTTGCAGTCTTGATTTATATACAATGCTCGTTTGAGGTTGTGATTCATATACTATGCTCGTTGGTGACTTAATTTACATATCATGCTTGTTGATGTTCATGATTAATATACTGTGCTCGGACTTCGATTTGATTTGTATACTGTGCTTGTTGATAATAATGATTTATATATTATGCTTGTTGATGGTTTCGATTTATATACTGTGCACGTTGGTGGTCTTAAATTATATACTTTTCTACTTGGTGGTCATGATTTATATACTTTGCTCGTTGGTGGTCTTGATTTCTATGCTATGCTCTGTAGTGGTCTTGTTTTATATAATGTTCTTGGTCGTTGTCTTGATTTATATATTGAGTTCGTTGGTGGTGTTGATTTATTTACCATGTTCGTTGGTCGTCATGATTGATATACTGTGCTCGATCGTTGATTCATATACTATGCTTGGTCGTAGTCTTGATTTATATACTGTGCTTTGTCGAGGTCTTGTTTTATATACAATGCGCGGTTGTAGCCATGATTTATATACTGTGCTCGTTGGGGGTCTTGATTTATAAACTATGTTCGTTGTTCGTCATGATTGATATACTGTGCTCGATCGTTGATTTATATACTATGCTTGGTCGTAGTCTTGATTTATATACTGTGCTTTGTCGAGGTCTTGTTTTATATACAATGCGCGGTTGTAGCCATGATTTATATACTGTGCTCGTTGGGGGTCTTGATTTATAAACTATGTTCGTTGGTCGTCATGATTGATATACTGTGCTCGATCGTTGATTTATATACTATGCTCGGTCGTTGTCTTGATTTATATACTGTGCTTTGTCGAGGTCTTGTTTTGTAAACAATGCGCGGTTGTAGCCATGATTTATATACTGTGTTCGTTAGTGGTGTTGATTTATTTACCATGTTCGTTGGTCGTCATGATTTATATATTGTGCTCGATCGTTGATTTATTTACCATGCTCGGTCGTAGTCTTGATGAATATACTGTGCTTTGTCGAGGTCTTGTTTTATATACTATGCTCGGTCGTAGCCATGATTTATATGCTGTGCTCGTTGGTGGTCTTCATTTATATACTGTGCTCGTTGGTGGTCTTAATTTATAAACTATGTTCGTTGATCGTCATAATTTATATAATATGCTAGATCGAAGTCTTGATTTATATACTATGTGCGTTATTGGTCTTGATTTATATAATGTGTTCGGTCGTAGTCTTGAATAATATGCTATGGTCGATCGTGGTCTTGATTTATATTTTTTGCTCTTTGGTGGTTTCGATTTATACACTATGCTCGGTCGTGGTCTTGATTTATTTACTATGCTCGTTGGTGGCTATGATTTACATACTATTGTCGGTCGTGGTCTTGATTTAGATACTAACCTGGGTGGAGGTCATCCGTTTTATACTTAGCTCGGTTGTTGTCTTGATTTATTTACCATGCTCGGTCTTGGTCTTCTACATACAGGGTTACCAAGGGTTTCTTAACGCCTTAAGAGCCAATCCGCTAGAAAACCATGCAATATTCAGAAAATCGTCCAAATCGACAATCACAACTTGACAAATTTTTATACATCATCTTAATCCTTGACATAAAATAAAAGAATTTGACCACTTAATTTTTCCCAGAATCGTATCTATTTTTAGTAACAGCCTCATTGGCATAATTCTGTAAATTCATAATGAAACCAAGGAAAAATCCAACTTTTTTATGCCTTTTAAGAATGACCCAGAAGCATATTAAATGGGGTAGTTGAGTCTTTAGAGTAATGTCAGCTGAAACTCATCCATTTTACTATGTTATGATCAATACAAATGAAAATTTAAACGATTTGGCACATTGCCAGGAGCAGGGACACAAAGGCGGGGTTTTTCATATATGAATTTACGTGGTTTTCATTCGTGTCTATCTTGCAAGACCCATTCCGGATTTGTTTGCAACTTATATCGGTTTTAACTATGGGGTATGTTTTATATCAAAACAAAATATTAAGCTTGGCAAATGACTATTATATGTTAATTTATGCCTTGGAAGAATAGTGATTTTAGTCCAAAATTGACACATTTTGATTTTGATTTTAATTAAATTCTTAACACAATTGGTACTAAAATGGCTCATAAAATCATTCGAACAAGTAAAATCAATTTGTCTGAAAAATGAAACAAGACGTATTTGTACTGCAAGTCCAAAAATCAATAAATTGTCTGAAACCAGGGAGTCCATCTTTTATGCTCTTCCATTGACTTAGCTCCCTTGGGTAAGATCTCAAACATGTCAGCTCCCAGTGATGGTTTGGCAGACAAATGTTTACAGTGAAGTTTGTGACTTTAATAATCTAGGATGAGCATGTGGGCTATCCCAGCCTTATACATCTACATATTACAAACTATTTAAGATATCTGAATGCACTAAAGACCAAAATAGCATTTCCAAAAAAAATAATTAGTAATTACTGCCAAGAAATTTGACAATCATGACAATAATTTAGTGAATAAACATGATAAATATTGATTGGAAAAATAAGTCCATGAACAGCAAAAAGTGTTTTTAGATTTCAACGAGCAAAACAAAAGTATTCTAAATCATTCTTCGTAAAAAAAAAAAGGTGAGCGAGTGGAACCACCTTGCTCGCACCAGAATTGAGATTGAGAGTGTCAAAACTGCTCTGGCGCACCATCAATAAATCAACGACACTCTCTCTACCGTGGTATTGAAACCAGCATTTGTAACCAAACATATTCATACAGATACAGACTACCATTCATCTACATTTAGGAAGTCTGAATAATACTGAAAACTATGGTGTAGAATTTCCAACAGGACTCCTTATTTTATATAAGACAAGGAGTGGTTTATTTTCCCATGGTTGTTACATCATCTTGTCTTTGAATATGCTCGAAGTACAGGGACTTTTATGGAATTCATTGACATGATAGTCCAGCAAGATGTCAACATCTCGTCCAACCCTCTTCCAGCAAAGCCAAAGCTGACCAAGGATCTTCACCCTTTCAAAATAGGCTGTATACAGGACAAGTTATTCCAGTAGGAACAGGTACAAATCTTACAATCAATTGTCATTTGTTCCATAAAGTCAATCTGAAATTAGGGGACCAACAATTGATACATTAGCTAGATTAAAAAAAAAAGGGGGGGAGGGTGTTGAAGGGGCATGTGAATATTCTTTTACACCTGACCTGTTTCTAAGACATCATTTTTATTTCCTATGGCAAAGTGCAAGCAAATAATATATATCCGTATATACATTGTTCTGTCTTGGGACCATTTGATCAAAAAAGCAAGGGGGAGGGTTAGAATGGTCAAAATATTTATGTCCTTGTCAGCTTAGGACAGAATTTTAATTTTCAATTTTTAACCAGGGTACAATATATATTTATTTTCTGCTTTAAAAAATCAGTTTATAGACCAAAATCATGATATTAATCAAAATCTATTTCAACATATTCAACGTTTAGCAGGTCAGGTATTTATTTTCTTCCCCTAAGTTATATTTTCAGTTCTTACTTGAAGTTGTTCAGCTCTTTGTCTACTAAAAAAACTTTTATCTCATGGAAAAGCCTCCTACAAATACATGTTTTACATACAACATACTGTACATGTAACACTAGACAACTTTATCCAGAGAATAATATTTTTTAATGAACTAGTAGGCCATGGAGACTAAAAAAATCAAAAGCATTGCAAACTTTTGTAAAGTTCAATTTTAAGACCCTACATGTACATGTATGTAGATTACTTATAGAGCCCTTTTTAAAAGAAAAAACATACATTTAAACTACATGCACAGTGATGCTACACTACCCTACATTTCCTGTCTGATATATTTTATTTCATGTAAAACAAAATTGAAGAATTATTTTATAGTTTAACACTTTTTATTTGTAGGGCTATATATATGCAGGCAATGCTCAATTAAGATGAATTTTTGTAAAAGTGACAATAGCCAGGTCAAACTAAATACATGTATAGGAGAAGATATTGGTAAGTTATTATTAACTTATATATTAATTTAACTGTTTGTATAACATGGTAATCATACAAAGTATATGTAATCACTTATTAATAACATAATTATACAATTACATGTTATACATTTGTACATCAGTTTTATTAAACAGGTCTTTGTTAACTTGGTTTTCCCATTGAAAAATCACTTTGCTAATTTTAATTTGTAGTACTATATTGGGCGGCTCCTATAGTTTCCATTCAATAACTAACAATGACTAATGAACTGTTCATACATTCCATTTCAATTATTTTATTTATTAATACGTATTACTTTTACTGTTAAGTCTGTTTTTTGTGATATCCATTTTATGTGACTCTGTATTTATGTATCCCGTCATACTTTGAACGACAAAACCTTCCATCCTTTATGGGTGGATTTTACATAGATATATAAAATCGTATAATATAAGCAAAATGAGGATGTTAAATTTGATGTATGCCTTTTTGTGCTTCTTCGTTACATTTGTTTGTTTTTATAATGATTAAGATGATAACACAATGTTGACTGCTGTATCCCTATTTTTGACAATTTTACCTATTGTGTCTGTTTGTTTTGTTCACGCATCGTTGTCAATATAATGGAATTTGATGTGACTGTCATACAAGTGAGAGGTTTATTATCTAGCTATAAAACCAGGTTCAATCCACCATTTTCTACATAAGAAAATGCCTGTACCAAGTCAGGAATATGACAGTTGTTATCCATTCGTTTGATGTGTTTGAACTTTTGATTGGGGACTTTCCTTTTTGAATTTTCCTCGGCGTTCAGTATTTTTGTGATTTTAATTTTTCAAATATAAAAGGGGGAGATCTTTATTGGTACTTTTGAAGATATTTCACCTGTTCGATTAATTGATTGATTGTTGGTAATGCTAATGTCCAATGGCAAATAGTTCATGCATGTTTAGGACAATAACAAAATAAAATAAATACATTAATTGGGTTCTTAATATGCTAAATTTAACAATGTATTTAAATAATTTAAGATGTTGCAATTGGGCCCCATTTTAAATTGGTTCACATTGATTTCAAAATGGTCCAAAAATTTTTTTCTTATTTCTACACAACTTGAATTCTTGAGGTTCTTTTGATATACAAAATGCAAATGTTTTATATTTATATTTTTAATTTTGGTCCGATTTTCAAATTCGTCCACATTTTAAAGTCCAAAGGGTCCAAATTTCAACTTAGTTTAATTTTAACAAAACTTGAACTCTAATTACAATGAATTAGGGTTCTTTGAATGATAAATAGAAATAATCAAATATCCTGAATATAAATATGTACTTAGATTTATGATTTTGGTCCCTGTTTTCAAGTTGGTTCAAATGGGGTCCATAATTTAACTGTGTTTGATTTCAACAATAATTTTAAAGATGCTGATTCAGCCTGAATCTAACCTGTTTTTGGGCCCTATTATGAAATTGGTTTACATTGAGGTCCAAAGGGTCTAAAATTAAACTAAATTTTAAATCTTAATTTGATCTTGGGGTTCTCTGATATGCTGAATCTATTAAACTTTATCTTTATACCATATTTATTCTGTGTTAGAAACCTATTCTTTGTCAAATATTTAATCCCATTACAAATTTAGAGCTGTTATAGCTTGAATGTTCTGTCCAAACTTGCATTTTTTCTTCATCTTCCACAAAATTTGTCCTTTTCTGAGATAACTGGTGTTATCTTTTTAAATGAAACTTTAGTGAAAAGAAAAGCACAATATGTGGATAATTATCTGATGTCAAACATTTTCAAGATGGCCACCAAGGATGGCACAAATTTAAACACTGGTTAATTTAATGAAAATTGTTAATTAGGGATAGTCGTGGTAGTTTGACTTGCTAAACAAAGTAAGGTTGTTTTTTCTTCCAAAATGGCAAACATTTTCAAGATGGCCTTATATGAAAATTGACATTAAGGAATTATAGCACTTTTGACATGCCAACAAAACAATGAAATTTTTTTTTAAAGATGGACACAGCAAATAAAGGGTAAAATTTTCAATTTTGTTGAGTTTGATTTTAAAGAATATTGATATTTAGCTGTACTTTGACACAGAGAACAGATATAAAGATGGCCACCATTTCAAAGATTGTCACTAAAAGCGGTCAAATTATCACCATTGTCTGTTTTCAATGTAAAATTATATTGAGAGGTAATTCGACATGCCAAACCAAATGGAGGCAATTTTTATTGTTGTAAAGATGTTAAGGGCTATTTGGACATGCTTAAAAGGAGTGGATAATAACTATTCTGCAAAAATGATTTGGCTTAATTGAGAGAATTTTGTAACTGCATCTACTTACAGTAAAAGTTGTCAATTTTATTTCCTGTCAGTGGTATATATGAAATTAAAAAAAAATGTGGTATTATTGCCAATGAGAACAAAGGACATAGAAGTAAAGCTATAGGTCTTCTTATGCCATATGGCCTTCAACAATGAGCAAGACCTATACTGCATATATATTCAGCCATAAAAGGCCCCAAAATAAGAAAATGAAAAAATATGAAAACTAACAGCCTGATTTATGTATGTATGTTTTGTGGTTTTCAGATCTAGACTCGCAGCTAACCTTTCTGTCAGTGTCAACAACAACTGAACTTTCACAGCAGTCAACATCAGATTGGGAGACTGATAATGCTTCTAACAGAAACAATTTCAACCAACCAAACAAGCAACAGAAACTTTCCAACTTTAAAACATCAGTTAAATCTTCCATGGGATGATGTCTCAAAAAATAACATTTCATCATTTATGGAGATTTTAATGTTATGGTTTTTCTTTTACATGAAAGTTAATGTACACTTGTTTTATAGTAAAACCTATAGCCGTTCAAGTATAAAAAAACACATTCAACTTAATTGAAATTTGAAGATTCATATGACTTATTTTAATTCTGTTATCTCCGAGGATGTGATGTAGAGCATTATAGGTACAGTAATCTTAACAGCTATCCAATTTCATTCAAAATTCTTTATAAATTTTGCACTGGTATATATAGACTAAGTAATTTGTTTTTCGTCTAGTTATGGGATTTTTTTTAAGAAGCATTTATGATTTTCATGTTTGTATTGACCACATGTCAGGCAACATAGATATAGGTACCTGGCAAATCTTGCCTTGCTAACATACTAGGCTCAAAGGGTCATAAAAAAATGTCCATCACTAAGTGTCTGTTGAAATCATCTGTTTACAGTTTTCACTTTTAAACCATCATCTTAATAACTTTAGAAGAAGTGTCATACATATATATATGTATACAAAATTTAAAAACTTTTCAATATATATATATATATATATATATATATTGATAAAAACTATCAACATGATAAGATCTAAATACCCAAAATTTCCAGAAAAATTGGACATAACATCTATGAGCTATTGTCCCTGAAATGTGTAAATTTACAAATTTTCACAGCTTTCTGCTACTATCCGACAACTATATCAATATATTATAAGAATAAATTGCAAAGGTGGTCAGAAGAAACTTTTTTTTTACAGTCTGAACTTATTCTGAATTGTTTAACTTCTAATTTAAATTGATTGCGTTTGAAATATGTGTTTTTTATCGTTTTAGGTGCACAATTTGTCAATACGATCTATTTCGGCTCCTGGGAGCCTCTAGATTTATAATGAATAAATTGTTTTTATGTATGATTATTTTCTTAATGTATTAAATGAAACATTAATTATTCTTTTCCATTCGTTATACTTATTTATAAGTCCAGATCCTATCATATGTCAGTAGTTACAAATTAGACGGCAAAATTGAGAATATTTGAATATGCAGGTTACCCCATTTTGTTGTGGCATATACCAGACACCAACATTATTTGCCGAGCTTTATATTTTTTTTTATTGGGTATATATAGTTATACTTTGCAATTAGATATGTTGTTTTACAATAATAAACGGGTCTTGGAGTATTTTGGCTCTGAAAGATCACTAAAATCAGCCATTTTGGACATGTAGCTAAATAAGACATATTGAAACAGTTAGATTATACATACACTTAATAGACAGCATTGTTAATTCTCTGCATTCTTACACTTAAAGTGATGTATTACTAGGAACAACTATCAAAAAATTATAAATGTTACCATATTTTTTTATTTAAACCAGCGAAATATGCCAAAAAGGCTTATTTTTGCTGTTTTCGAGCAATTTCATCTGTTAAAACATGGCGCTCAAAAAATATCCAGATCGGTTCAATATTTTCCCAAAAAAATTTGTGTGGTTATTTACATTACTAAGGTGCACCAATATGCCAAATATGAACTCATTTGGAAAAAGTGACATTCGGACGGTTTTGCATGGTTTTCTGGCAGATTGGCTCTTAAACAAGTAACTCTAAAAAAATACTACAGGCGTATTGATTAACATTGATATGGAGAAACTGACGAACTGTAACACCTGATAATTTGTAGTTTACTACGTCAACAAAACCCCGTAAAAGTGTTATAACCTATGTGTTACAATTCATCTGTTTATCAAGTTAAGACTTTTGGTTAATTATTCTACTACAAAGATATTGTGAACACAATTTCTTATGCATGGATATAACAGGTTGGAACATTCCAGAGTCGGATTTAAGTGGGGGCGGGGGTGGGGGGGGGGGCTGGTTAATGCATAGACTTTTTACTTGTCCTACTCCTAATGTTGTCTACTTTGCTTTGCACTTCCCCACCCCTCTTTTTCAAAATACTGGATCTGAATCTGATTTCCTTATAGGAATATGCAATATTTAACATTCTAATGCTTCCGCCAATACATGTATCAGAATAATGCATTTTTTTCTGGGCGATTGACCGACCAATCCACTGAATGAGTTGCAATGCATGATGGATTACTATGTGTTTACAATTGTTTATAACTGCATGACATACAACACAATTTTTAACACATTGCCGAAAAAAGAATTTATCTTTATACCTTTTCTTCATTTGTGTTTACATTTATGATACAAAATATTTTTGTTCTGTGTTTAAATTCACATATAATTACTTCGTTGCTATACATATGAAAAAAGTGTTTAAATACTCGAACCATGACACTTATACTATTAATATAAACAAAGACAATTCCCAACCACAAGGATGAACACGCAGACTAAATGTATTCGTTCACAAATAAGCAGCCAATTGACAAATAAAAAGACATAAAAACTCAAAAGACAAACCAGGTTCCGAAAACGGAAGCTGCAAGAACTTTTCAGTAACCCAGTAAAATTGGGAAAGCGATTGTCAAATTTCCGTAAAATGAACAAAGAATTGAAAAAAATAATAAGGTTCTTTTTGTTAATTTGTTACTTCTTTTGTTTTTCAATTCATTCATTCATTTTCAATTTTTGTTTTTGCTACTAATACACTGTACCAGTTTCCCCTTTACGTAAAGAAATATACTTAGATAGAGACAATTAAATAGTCTAATATGCTTGAATATCCAAAGCAAACTGACGGTACGAGTCTTCTAAATGACTGAACGATTCAAATGATGTGTCATTCGAAAAAAATAGAAAGACATTTTGTTTCATTATCCTGAGCTCTTTTCACAAACAAATCTTATCCATTGAATAAACGGTAGGTTATTGTTAATGTTCCCAACGTGGAAGTATTTTTTTCTATGTAAGATATTTTTTTGTGAAATAACCCCATAAACTTGATTTTTTTTTTCTAATAAAAATCGACATGCTTTACATTTAATATATTTTTCAATAATTTAATGATATTAGCTCTGTGCATTAATTGTTATTTCAAGTGAAACTGTTTAGTGCAATCATGAAAAGAGTGTTAAAGCAAATTCCTTTTAAATTTTGTTGACAGAAAGTTTAATTTTATGTATCGAAATGAGAAACAAGTGATTATTTAAATCCCTACTAGAAGGCCTCTGACAGACTGAATTAGCGTAAAATCATTCTTATCGATAGCCAAAGAAGTTAAAGGTCAATGATTCAGTATAATTAAAAACATAAGTATTACGGTAGTCTACACTGTTATGGGATAACCTCTATATACTATGTCGTTGGTGGTCATGATTTATATATTATGCTCGTTTGTGGTCTTGATTCATTTACTTTGCTCGGTCGTGGTTTTGATTTAAACACTTCTTGGTGTTCATTTTATTGTTTGTCGGATGCATTGTATTTCATAATATTTTTCTTAGTTTGATGGAGCGACGTGTCTTTATGTTCGTTTGTTCGTGATTGTCTCAATTTATATTCTGTGCTTGTCTGATTGTTTGTCTTATGTTTTACGGCTGTCTGTAATTTAGTGTTGTTTTGATTTTTTTGTGTTTCCAAATTATTTTTGAACAATCATCAGATTTTATTAAAAGTCGCAGTTCATATATGACAGTTGTTATCTATTCGTTTGATGTGTTTGTGCTTTTGATTTTGCCATTTGATTAGGGACTTTCCGTTTTGAATTCTGAGTTCAGTATTTTTGTGATTTAACTTTTTATTAAATATAAATGATATTACATGTACACAACAATAAAATTGAGAATGTAAATGGGGAATATGAAAGAGACAACAACCCGGCCAAAGAGCAGTAGGCCACCAATGGGTCTTCAACGCAGCGAGAAAATCCCGCATCCGGAGGTGGTCTTCTCTGCTGGCCCCTAAATAAAAATGTGTACTAGTTCAGTGAAAATGGACGTCATACTAAACTCCAAAACATATAAATGAACTAAAATTAAAAAACATACAAGACTAACAAAGGCCAGAGGCTTCTGACTTGGGACAGGCGCAAAAATGCGGCGGGGTTAAACATGTTTTGTGAGATCTCAACACTCCTTCGATACCTCTAGCCAATGTAGAATAAAGAAACACACATCGATACGCACAGTAAAACTCAGTTTAAAAGAAGTTTGAGTCCAATATCAGTAAAGGTAACAAAAGAAACTAAGGAAAATGACAATTATACATAAATTAATAAAGGACTACTAGCAGTTACTGACATGCCAGCTCCAGACCTTAACTAAACTGATTGAAAGATTATGTCTTCATTATATGAAAATCAAGTACAACCCCTCCCGTTAGGGGTTTCGTATCATACCATCATAAAATATATGAACAGAACATAACCTGTATCATGCCAACAACTGGTTTTAGAATAAATGTGTTTATTTCCGATGCAAAGACCCTATGCATGAATCAATATTGATACCAAAATAAACAATCCTTAATGACTTGACAACAGTATCGTAACTATATTCAGAATAAGTCTGTTTAAAGATTTGGTTAGCTTTTGAGGTGAATGTCGACATTTTTGTGCTTTTTAAAGAATATTACCATACAAGATTGGATGTAAAAAACCTGAACGTATAATATGTCTGCATGTTAGTTTATATTAACGAATGATGTCCTTGTACCGATGATGAAATTTAGTAAATGTTTTGACTAGTTTATGAATCGAAAACCCTGGTGTAATACTTTTTCAGTAGTACAGATATTTCTTTCGTTAAAATCAAATACTTTGTTACATACACGAGCGAATCGAACAAGTTGAGATATATAAACACCATACGATGGTGACAAGGCAACGTCACAATCTAAAAATGGATTGTACATTGTTTCATTGTACCGTAATAAATATATTATTTTCTACAACGAATTATTCATTTGCGCTACCAATATTTACCGTGGAGAACGTAGGCCTGATAAAGGACAGACAACACTATAGTTATTATTCCTTGTAGTTACCTTTTTGAGAGTATCCGTCGTATATATTTGCTTATAACTAGACAAATATAGCAAGAAGCAGAAATTACGATAATGGTGGCATCTCATGTGATAAACATGCGGCTGAAAATAACACCAATACACATAATTTCAATCAAAATAGCTGTTTAGACTTTAATAGGACCTCAATTGAACAACATAACCAGGTATTAGTGGCCCCACAGTTAGCAGCTGGTCCAAGTACTGACAACACTTATACATCACGTCCAGTTAGTACACATCCTTTTAGAGTAAGTAGTCATGTTAACGCAAACACATGTTACTCATGCCACCAAGAGGGACATTTTAGTAAAAATTGTCCTTTCTCAAAAGGAAAAAGAGGGAACCCAGAAAATATGAATCCTTTGGGAGGGAACCAGTTTGGATTTACTAGTCAGGATAATCAGAACTAGTTAGGCCTATATAGCAGATGAGCCTACTGGCCAAATATCAGATCAATTTTTGTGAAGATTCTGATTTTTTATAATGTAGATATGAAATTTGTGTTATTTTTTGTTAATGATAAACGTGTAAAAAGTAATTTATTAAATTATTATTTTATTAAGAAGGCTTGTAATATTAGTGTTTATCCACTGAGTATACCGTATGCTAGGCATAAACATGTGTAGTTTTTCGCACTACATGAAAAAATTGTGGTATTAATATTGTTTTTGAGAAAACACGTGATATTATTTATAAAACAGCTGGAATGTGTTTGTCCTATTGGCGTTGTTGTATTATTGCAGTAAAGCTGTTTAATACTGTTTTGATGGGAAGCTGCTTTCGGTGGTGTATATTGGCAATATAGGATACTTAAGGTGCCATATTTGTTGGGGTGCGAGAATAAGTTTAGGCTAATGGTTAGTCTAGATTGCAATATACATTTTGGTTACACCATGGGTATGCTGTCTGCTCCATTTCAGATATTTTTCGGGGAATACTGATGACTATTTATAATTGGTTGTACTTTGGTACTT